AGGCGGGGGCAGCGCACCTAGCACCTCGCTGCAGCTCCTACCGCGGCCCTAGCTGCCACGTTCCCTTCCTCCCACACACGTCATCACACCAACCTTGCCCGTCCTTGCACTGGTGGTGCCTCTGCGCAAGGGAGCTCAGCTCCCTGAACCAACCCAGCGACTCCTCTGGCCTGCCTGAGCCAGGCTCTGCTCCTCCAGGTTTAATAAGTCCATCCAGTCTTCAAGGGAGTCGAACATGAGCTGGAGCTGGTAGACGCCAACCAAGGGAAAAGCCGATGCTGGCACCAAGGCCGAGCGGCCGCCACGGCGGCACCGCACGCACCAGCACCGCTCCTGCCCACCCTAGGAACAAAACCATTTCCCAATACTGACACACTGACAGGTTTATTGTCACCATGTCCTCTGGAAAATTTTCTGCATGAATTACAAAACCAAAAGCAAGACAAAGAAGTTCACATGAAACTATCATTTCCTCTTTACATAACCACAAACTGAAAGCTTTCCAGCTTATGACAGGGTTGCAGAGTCAAACATCCCTGTACAAGATGAGATGCTAGGAAGAAGAGAGATGCAACAGGGTTGCCCATGAAAATGGACTGTGTTCTGACAGAAGCAGGTAGAAGGAAGATAGTGTGCCATTGTTTAGGATTTCTGTGTCCTGAATATGAAAATGAGAACAAAAAGGAATTTCCAAATGTTTGAATGTGTCATTTTAAAAAATCTACTAACCTTAGAAATTTTATAGCCTTGTTCAGGAAACTAAATTCTGAGATAATTTCCAGAGTTTGGCTCCTAAAATCAAGTTATAATTCTGTAAACCTCAGGGTACCAAACACTAGATTAGAAAAATACACATACACACACACACATATATATATATGTACAAAATGACCACCCCACATTCTAGATGTTTTTAAACAAACAAACAAAATAAAAATCAAGAGAAACTAGGTCAAATTTAACAAAAAGGACAGCCATTAAAATATACTTCAAAAACTGCTTTTGCCCTAATACTGCCAAATAAATTAGGTGTCCACGTCAGTATTTTTGGTGGAGAATCACATGAGTTGAAAGAAACAACCTCCTAGCCCGGGTTCCTCAAGTTCCATTTTAGTGCTTGGCAACCTAGTTGTCTCAAGTGGCTAAGAGCTTTAGCTTTAAAAGCTGCCTCTGAAGTTTATCTAATGAAGTCAGTACAAGTTTGAAACTACCAATTTTGAGGTTTTGAGGCAAGTAATAGTGCGTTTTTATGGCAATAATTTTTTTTTTTTTTGGACAAAAAAATTTGATTTTTCTTTTCAGTTTGTTTTCCCATCAGAAGCTATGGGAAAACATTAAGAGGAAACATGTCCCACTATGGGGTCAAGGTCTACATAGAGGTTAACCGCTTCAAATCATGGTTTATTTATTTATTTAAGAAGTCCAACTCAGGACAGTATCAGCACCCTATGAAAATTCTCTGTAAAAATCTAAACTAGGTCACTTCAAGACAGGCTACCAAAATAATGAAGGCCATAATTGAAGGATGGAAATAGTTATACATGCAGGGAAAAAAATCAGCACAATGAATACAATAACCCAGCACCTTTAAAGGTTTTCACTTGTACTTAGGTAGAACTGTTAAATTAATACAGCAGGTGATTTATCATTGCAGAGGAAGCAGTACCTATATTGTCCCTGGGAGGGAAGGACAAGCTGAGCCTTTAAGCAGTTACAAATTCTAAACGTGTCTAGGAAATATAATTTGTTACTCTCGTATTAAGTGTTTCAGCCTTATACTGGAAAAAAAAAATCTTTAATGCAGTGACTAACACATCAAGTAATAGTCTGAAAATGACTTTTAGAAACCAATACCTCTTCATATAGTTCAACGAAAGATATACACAGCTGGTGTGCAGAAAAGTCAAAGCAAGCCACAGAGTTTAAGACAACAAGTTAAAATTACAAACACTTTGCTAACACTCATAAGAAAAACACTGTAACTGTGGGAAGGAGGCTCTGCCTCACCAGCCAAGCAGATGTTTTTTTCACTCCGATAGGCCCGGGCAGCCCGAGGTTCACGGGGCAGCTCCCTACAGGCAGGGGCAGCCCTGTGCCAGGGCGCCCTCGGCCTCGCACGTGCCCAAAAGCCGACGGGCCCTGTCCCAAAGCCCGCAGCACCGCACGCTCCGCGCGTGTCATGGGGAGCATAAGCTTCCCGTTCGAGTAGTGACCTCCAAGCTTCCCAAAGGGCGCCCTGACCCTTACCAGAGGCTCCCTCGGGCTTCGGGCCTTGCTCAGCCGCGCTGCAGCTCTCCAGCGCTGCCCCCAGTGCTCCAGGGGCGGCCTCACCGGAGCTGAACACGGGGGCAGGATGCCCTCCCTCGAGTGCGGTGATCCTCGGCCAACGGGGAACGTTTCTGTCATTGGGAGGAACCTGAGCGTGAAAGTATGAGCATTTACCTCTGCAATCATCCCCAAGGCAGGGCAGGAGCACGACAGGATGAACGTCCTCCACTCATTTGCCATCCTCCTTTCAAGGAAGGACCCTGATACCCCCTTGAAGGTGGAATATTAAAGGATATTGAGCTCCCTTCCTGCAGAATCTCCCTCTCCCCCCCCCCCCCCCCCCCCCCTCTCTCTCTTTTTGTCAGCACTGCTTTGGCATAACACTTTTCAAAACCGCTTTGAAATTTTACATTCTCTCTCTCTCTCTCTCTCTCTCTCTCTCTCTCTCTCTCTCTCTCAAACCTATACGAAAATACTGGACAATATCCTCAGATTTTTTTTTCTTTCTTTTTGTCCAGAGGGATTCACCCCAGTGCAACTCCACAAATCCCAGGACGAATGATAGATGTTACTCCTATTCTACATAGGGTAAACAATTTATCATTCCGCCCCAAAATGCTGCAGAAACAAGTCACACAGTAATGGCACATGCAGACCACACCTAGTCACTGCAACATGACCCAACTACCATCAAAAAACAAATTTTGCAGGCAGCCTAATTGTTAGTATTCAGTAGTAATTTGAACTCTTTCTCAGAAGATTTTTGCAGATACTCATCCGCCGCCCTTTCATTTTTTGGGGATAAGCTATAAACAAAATTATTTATAATAGAAGAAAATAAAAAGAGGAAATGAGATCAAAAGATGCTCTTTTGAGAAGAAAAATACAGGCCTTGGCTAAGTATACAGATTCTTAATAGCTCTTGAAAGTCTATTAGTAACACAACAGCTTTTCTAAAGCTAGGGATATGAAACAGAGATAAGAGAATCATCACACATTATATTTTTAGAATAAAGACAGTGAGAGATGCCATTGTAGAATAAAGCTGTTAAAAAAAAGTAACTTGTGTGGTCCTATGGTTCTTTGGCTTGAATTTTTCATAATCACTGATGAGAATTTCATAAATGCTGAAATTAAGTATTGAAAGGTGTGGCTAACCTTTATGTGTGAAGTTATTTTCCACCATGAGGAATTTGAACTATTAAATGAAATGCACAGTTGATTGTGAATATAAAACAGACCTGTGATAAGTTATCTGTATCCTTACTTCACCTGTAACATCATAATTTATGATTCCATTAACTTCTTTTATAAATAGTTCCAGGAAAAAAAAAAAAGTTTTTTAAATAATTCTGCAGCATCCAAAACAAACTTTTCTTTCTACTGTTGAGCTAGGATTCTTCCTATCTCCAACTGATTTTTAGCACTTACTTACTTAATCTAAGTCTGTGTCAGGTCTGAATAGTTTGCTTTTAAGAAAAAGCCAATTTATACAATCTCCTATAGTTTACTTCCCAACATGTGTACATCTGAAACTCCTTATACCATAGAGGGAAAAGATACAAAAAATAAATTCTGCACATTTCTAGAAGAAATTCTACACAATATACAGAGATATATTGTGTATTATTCTCTCATTATCAATACACATATTCAAAATTCAGTCTTTTGTTCTCACTTTTACAACAACTTTATAGGACTATAACAAAGTCTCCCATTGGGAAACAAAAAATGTAGAATTTTCTGAATCAAATATGCAGACTTTTCAGAAGACATATGAGATTCCACTTCATAAAGTGTTGACTTTTACGCTATATACATAGATAACATAAGATTTTCCCTGCAATGTTTACACAATTCTAACACAGAACCTGTAGATACACAAATACAGTAGCAGGCCACCATCCAGCACTGTGCCTGTAATAGGTGTGAGTTTTCCTGTTAGAAACAGTTCACAAGAGGCCAGATCCCTTTTGACTTTATATTTTTATTACAATCTTCCCACACCTCCAAGTATAAACATTGAACCCTCCCCACTTCTCCCGCCTCTACCCCCTACCCAGAGGAGAAAAAAAAAAAAAACGCATGAGAAAGACCAAAGTGAAGCCATTTAAAGCCACTTCAATGTCTAACACACAGAACAAGTTTGGAGAAGAGAAAGCCTAACACTGGAGGAGGGGGGTGGAATTTTTGACAGCCTCTTGATTCCAAAACATTAATAAATAAAATCTAATAAAAATTGAACAACTTCTATTTTGAAGAATTTCCATAACAGAGGAATAAATTCAATAAAATAATGTAAAAGCTATCCTTTTGGAGTAAAAATCAGCTTTAGAAAACAAGAAGGTATTGCAGTTTGAAATTATTGTAGCTATACCTGAAGAAGTCACTGAGTCCAGGTTTGCTTTCCTTATATTGTTCCCAGTGAATGCCATACATATGGCTCATTATAAATACAACATATATGTAAGATATACATATATGATGTATCTCTGCAGAGGTGAATTTTAAAAAACAAAGTTATTACTCTGATATCGAAATACTCCCTGCAATTAAAATGAAGAAATACCATTAAGCAAAGATTTAAAGCTTATCGTGGTAGATACCAAACTCTCTGGCTATCATTATAGCGGAAAAAATCCACTGGATTCAAAGGGTGTTTTTTTATCTGTATAGTCAAACTACTAAGAATGGGATCAGAGCTAGTACTAAACCCAAAGATCTCAACACCATAGTATGTCTGAAATACACAGTACTTCCAAACAAACTATGAATTCCTTTATAGATCTGTACCAACAGGGGGCAAGAAAACAACATCTTAATTTTCTGTTCAGATTTTATTTGAAATCTAATTCAAATTGTCAAAGCTACAAAAGGGGGAACATTTGAGTTATTTCTGCTATGTCACAACATTCTAAAACAAAATATCACTACTGCCAGCAGATCAGTTACACATATTTTTGATGAAACTTCTAAACACAAAAATGTTTCATTTGGGAAATAGCACAATGAAGATATTTTGTACAATATAAAACAATGACAGGTCTACAGATGCAGATACTCATGAGTATACACGTGCATTCACAAAAAAAAAGATCAGGAATGCTTTTTTGTTTTTAAACAGACTGTTCAGGCACAAAAACAAAACCGCATTTCCAGTAAGTGACAGCATCATAAAAAATATTAACATTGTCAGTGTTTGCTTTTCTTTGACTTCTTGTGAGATCTGTGGGGAGAACGGGACTGAGACCTGGATTTTTTCCCTGACTTTTTAGGGGATCTGGATCGTGACCTTCTCGATCTTTTCGGCGTCCTAGAGCCAGATGGCGACCTGGAAAAAATAAAGTTTCGCATCAGATACTAATTGATAATACAGCTTTTCTACAAGTATTTTACACTTTTTTTTGAGTTAATCTAAACAGAAATATTTTTTGTCACTAGGAATAGGAGATGACAGGCTAACATCTTGTTTTTGATGAAAAGGCATCTTTTGCATAAGGTTTTAAACACGTTTTGGCTTAACTTCCATAAAAAACACAAGTAAATCCACAAAGAAATTAACACATACTCATGTCATTCTTTAGCAAACTTAAGCAATTTATAAGCTTCCATATATGCCTCTGCCACCTTGGCTCTTGTGTTAATAGCTGCTGATATTCATATAGAAGTGAAACGAGAAATTATTTTCAACTGTGTTGTACTCAGAAACTTCTGACTCTCACATGTTTAACTTGTGATCTAACTCCAGAGAACAAACATGAACAGAGAATAAACTTTGCAATCTAATGTGCACCTGCTGCATTAATTTCAAATAAACGCGAACACAATATTAACACTGAAATAAATGGCAGTATCAAACACCTTTCTACTTGTCGTTGAATTGCTAACTTCCAGCACAATAATGTGCTTTCTGTAAGTCTGTGCTATGATTTTCTCAACAGCAACATTGGAATTTCCTCAATGTGTCTGTACGGTAAGATACCACAGACATCTAAAAGAAGTGGAAGCTGAACTTTTGAGTTTGTCTAAGTAAGAAACAATTGCCAAAACATTTAAAGCTGCAAAGGCACCCCAATAAAAAAAAAACCCACCCACACCTCATCGTGGGTTTAACATTAGCATGTAACACAGCTTGTATCAGTCTGCAGATCAGACAAGAATCTACTCCAGGTTTTCTACATTGAAATACCAACAAGGGAGAAGAGCTTTGCATAAGCACCAACACACATGCTCACTGTAACTAAAAAACTTCTCTGAGCCACATAAGCTTTGTGAAAATAAAAACTGATTTGGTTTAAGTTGCATTTCTCAAATTTTACAGTAATTAGGCAAAGAAGAACATAGGAAGCAACATTTTTTAGCTCTCAAGACTCTGGCAGTATATATACACACTATACATACACACACATCATATATATCATATAAAGATCAAGTGTTTAAAGATGTTAATGGGAAAGTATAATCCAGTAAGAGAAAACACTGAGGTAACCAACACGCTCCGGCAAGATCTTACACACCTAACTTACGTAGAGTCTGGTAAGCGAAGATCCCACTTTACCTTTTGGCTTTTTTACTGACATCTCTGGGGGAATCTTTGTGTGATGACCGGGAGCGCGAGCTCTCTTTGTGGGAGCGCTCGGAGCGCTCCGAGCGCTCCGATTTGGGTGAGGGGGATTTCGCTCGTCTGCTGCCACTGCTGCGCGAGGGACTAGGCGACCCACTGTGTCTTCTTTTCCTTTGTAAGAAGGAAAATGCAGTTATGCACATATACACACACAGACACACACACAGAAATAACAATGTTCATTAAAACAAATGATTCCTTCTGTCTTGCTGGTGTAATGTAACTAAGCCTTTTAAGTAACTAAAAAGTAGTGGGCTTTTTAATTACTGAAAAATCAGACTGAATGAGAGAAGTTGACTTGCTTTGGTTAAAGGAATTAAGGCTTGTAACTGATCTCTCACTATAGCAATACGAAAATATTCCATCGTCCTTTCTGGAGGAAGGAAGGAATTTTACCCACCGCTATGCTTAATGAAATCATGCAAGATTCCAGCTACCCAAATATTAAAGGATAACAGCGCACAACTGATCACACTATTTAAACCAGTTGTCTTGTATTTTTAAGGTGAATAGTACTTAAACCTGCACAAATAATTTTGTTAAAGTAGCATATCAGTACAATTCTGACAAATACATTGCAATTAATTTATTGTTCAGGACCACAGTTAAATATACATTGGCTTCTGTTGGTCATTATTTTATCATGTTTTTTCAAGGGCCTAAATGAAACAAAAGAGGATTCTATTCAGAAGAATAAGTCAGTAGCGACAGGATAAAGTGGCAGATTTGTTTAACTGTGAAATATGTTATAATATCCAAAAATATTTTTTCTTTTCTAAATACGACATGCAACACAAGCTAATTTCAAGCTTGTGTACCTTGTATACAAAGATATTAGCTCTATTTTTTTCTTCCTATCCTACATAATTTACTACAAGGAAAGGCGTACCTCTCTTTTCTTGTTGGTGTACATTCCTCTTTTTCCTTTTTATCTTTGGACCTGGAGTCAGATTTTTCCTTGTCCTTTTTGTCCCTTTCCCGTTCTCTTTCCAACTCTTTTTCTTTTTCCTGAATTACGAAAAGCAGTAATTGTTTCAGGGGCGGGGTGACCGATCCTTAAAGACACCCCAGCTATTTACAAACAGCCAAAAAGCACCAAGTGGCAGTGGCCCATCGCACTCAATCCGGGAGGAGGCAATGAGCACACTGCACTCACCCTCCAACCCCACACTGCTGCTTGCTAAACGAGAGTATTTAATTGAGCACAAACTCTCACAGCAGACAGTTCTTGTGAGGATCAAACCATAGCTGAGGATGTAACTGGAAATGCACAGTCCCCAGTTTTACACATTTCAGTGATATATTATAGCTGTAATGTATTTTAAAACTAAACAGTTGAGAATTATCAGGAACTTCTTTCTACTTAAACATATGCATTCATCTTCATGTTTCCAGACTGAAAATTGAAACCGTCTTATAACTACCAGACATTTGAGAACAACACAAAGACAAATCAGGCTCTGTAACAACTTCTACTCTGTCAAAACGAAGCCAAACGTGTTTCACTTCTGTTCATCACCAAATTAAAAGAAAATACGCACCCTAAGCACACCTTATTTTTCTGTTAAACACTTAGAAAAAATATGACATAAAATAAACCTAGACTGTCCATAATTTTGAACAGAGACAATGGAATATGTGCTTCTTTAAATACTGGCACCAAAAAATATGCCCCATGGCAAAAATAAGTAAGTAGGTATCTAATGCATATCCCCATAAGGAAGGGAAGACATAATAGTGGCAATTAATCAGAACAAGATTTTTAAAGAAAAGATGACGTTAATACAAGTGCAGTTACTCATTAACAGAGGGATTAATTGCATTGTAAAGAACACCTGTTATAATTAAAGGATATCTGTAACTAAACATTAATTTCCATCATTGAATGTGAAAACAGAAAAGCCAGATAATGACTGAAAGTATATAAAACGTGAAAATCTGTGCTGAATTAATTCAACATAAGGCATTTAACAAAGCTGTTAGGATTACAATGTGTGTTCTCTTTTAGGACTGACTCGCCAAGCTTTCTTTTCTCGCCAAGTTTACTACATAGATCATTCTCTGGGAAGTTTTAGAACACGTTTACTTATTTTTAATTCTTTACATATACATATATATATATATTTTTTTTTTTTTTTTTACACAGGTCTCTTTCTGCAAGGTATTGTGCGAAAGTTATTTCAGCGAATTAGCCATATAGTGTGCTCCAAATAATGCAGGTGACAAAAAAATACCTGGTGAAACCTGCCATCATTTGTTTGCAGCATCAAGGAAACTGCACAGATAGTTTTAGCCACATGCCAGAAGCAATATGTCTGTACATTTAATATTAATCTGCCAGTCTGTGAGGCCAGATCCAAGCAGCAACTGGCCCTTATCTTCTCTCACTTAATACACTGTCCAAACATAACTTAAATTTTGGTTACGTTTCAAAGATTTCAAAGTTGCATCACACACGTCACTACTGTTTAGAGCCCCTCTGACTTCACAGTCCAGAGAGGACTACTGAAAATGGCAATGGCATGGAATTATTCACTTTTGGATAACAGTATGAGCTGGAATTAGCTGGGACATCTATGACACCGCAGAATCAGAAGAAACGCACATGCTGCTCAACACTTACTCCTTCTCTTCCCTTGAAAACCTTTAGCACAACTCATCATTTACTAGAAGTTAAACTGAAAGCCTGTAGAACAAGACAGACCTCCCTTCCTTGCCCCTGCCTAAGCATCTGCTTTATTACTAGCTCCACAAGTGACCCCTCAAGGTTTCGATACATTCTGACTTGCTAAGGATACTCATGTGTGAAGTGTGAAATGTTACACTTGCTTGGATTGAGAAAGATTATGGCTACTCTGCAGAAAGCACCTGGATTTAGGCATGCAGTTTGACATTACAATGGAATTTTAACTAGAAGCATTTGTTTTTATACTTCATGCCACCTTACATTCGATAAACTCAATAAAAGCCTATCACAGAATCAGAGCCAAACATAAAGAACATTTCTTACCCTCTGGAGCAGCTTGTCTCTATAGTGTTCAATCTGTTCCTGAAAACTCTGGCCTGGTTTCTTGGGTCTTTTCCCAGACTCTAACTCATCCTGAAACTTCATCACCTTAAGCTGTGAAAATAACACTGACCATTAGGTTATTGGGCATATTACTATCCAGTTAGGCAGGTGGCTGAAAACGAAATTTCCGTAATTTATAACATGTGTACTTCATTCTTTCCATACAAATTCGTACACAGAAAGATACTAACTTTACTTAACTGGATCAAAGCAACAAAACCACATACTTATCTGCAGGCACCTGCAATTATTTACAGATGTAACAAGAACTAAAAATAAAGGTTTTTTTTTTTTTTTCCCATTTTTCTACTAAATTCTATTCCCATCATTAGAATACTACACCCTAAAAGTTTTTAGGTTATCTGCATTTTCTTTCAAAATGAGATCATTTGTTGCAAGTGTCTTAATATATTAACCCTAAATTTTAAAAGATTAAAACTTAATGACTGGCACGGTAAAGATAAAATCAGAGTCTTCTCTTCAGAGTGGCTCGCACAGAGGCTGACTTGTGAGAGAGGATTTTTACAGCAATGCTCTTTCACATGCTATCAAGCTTCAAAACAAAATTCAGTTCACTAGGGCTGCTAAATGTAACACTAAATTTACTGTGATAATATCCCTCCATCTGAGTCAAAGTTAACCAAATGTCACAATTTTTCCACGTGGAATTTTTGTTCTAGATGTACTGAACTCCTTCCAAGTTGATTCACATCATAAAGCTTCACTCACATTTCTTAGTATTTGCTCATTCTTTGCTCTTGCAGTGATTTCACATCTGACATGGCCTCTTAAAATCATTCTTAGGACTTAGGAAAGGGAAAGCTGAAGCAGGGGGTGATGCTGGTGGCAAGAAGGCAGATGCATCCATCAAGTTTTACCCAAATGTTCATGCTCTGACCTTGCTGCATTTCCTCTTTCCACATCAACCCACATAGTTATACACAGGGCTACATTTTCCAGTGCTTATGGTTTCATTTTAGGCTTGCAGTCAAAATGCAAAATACTTTTCTTTTTAGAAATGTTTAACTCCTCCAAACCTGAAGGAGGAAAAAAAAAAAAAAAAAAAAAAAAAAAAAAAAAAAAAAAAAAAAAAAAAAAAAAAAAAAAAAACCCACCTTGCAGTTTATTATTTAATAGAATTCTTATTCGCCAAAACCTCAACCCCCTAACATGTTAAGCACTATGTTAAGTGCTGAAGGTTTTTGCTTCCCTCTCAAAAGCAGCAGGCCAGATTGCACATGAAGTTACCACACATCTAATAAGCCCTTTCACTTTATTAGTGGGCAAAGAGTGAGGGTATTAAAAAAATAAAGCAATCACAAGAACAAGTATCTTAAACATAAACATGCAAAACCACTACTTCAGCAGGATCCTCTTCAACTACAGGGCTCGCATCACCCATGCGACTCTTCAATTAACTAGATAGACGATAGAGAAAATTCCTCTTTCAAAAACTGGTATTTCCATCTTGTGTCACTGCACATTTCTGACAGGCGCTCTGCTTCCTTCCCTCATACACAAAGCGCACACAGTCTGCAGTCAAAAACCTCTCCTTTTTGTTTACAACTTAGCCTGTCATAGGGAACCCCTATTTACCGGAAGCCTGCACCACTGGCTTGTGAGCTCACCAGTCAATAGACCTGGTGAGAAGGTAGAGGTGATACGTCCTCAGTCATTTTACAAATGCAGGAGGTTCAAAATCCAGAATGCCCCTTGAAACAGAACACTCAGCGTCAAGCTGTTCCTCTTGTTTTGGTAAGAAATGAAGATCAGTTCCATTCTCTACCGTCAAGTAAATCCCAAGACCATTAATTTCTTACCAAGTTCAGTACCATACAGGAGGACAGAAGAAGCTTAGCTCATCTTCTCAGACTAACATGGAATGAACACATCCACAGAATCTCTTACTCTTTTCCCAACTAAACTGCACAATTAAAAACAAAACCAAACCAGAACACCTCCATACATCCCCTAAAAGACTTTCGACCAACAAAGTTTCAAGACTACCAAGGTTGGACCTTATATTGGAAGTAAGGAAGCACAGCAGTACAGCTCAGAGTAACCTAAAGGAAAGTGAAACTAGAAATTCAGTATCAGGCTTAGGAATCCAGGCAAAGGATTCCTTCTTCACCCTTTCACACCAGCTGCAGTGCTTGTTTGAGCTTTCCAGGAGCCAAATAAAATCCTTGATCCATCAGAAGTCCATATCCCACCTTCCCATTTGCTGCATTTTTCTGGTGAATTAGTATCGGTCCAGACAGAGGATGAGGAAACGCCAGCACTCACAGCTAAGACCACAGGACCAGGAGGTTTCCTTTCAGCAGAGGGGAACAGTTAGATCAGATCAGCCCACTCCACAGCCTGACGCACAGTAATTTTCTTAAGAATACTGCACTGCTGTTGGCGAGTGCTCTAGAATGCTCTGATAGCCACCGAGTTCTACAAGGACGACGACCTGGGTGCCAAGGTCCAGAAAACAATTCTCAGAAGAGTCCTACACCTCCGAATTAATACACAGACTCCTAATGTTTGATCATCTCCTTCACCATTTCTCTATTCTTAGCACACCGGCCGTACCCAATGCTCCTCTGACAGATCTATGGTAGGACATGTGATGCTTGTATTTCATGCAGTTGTAGGCTACCCTCTAAAAGAGGGAGAGATTCCTAAAAATCAGGCTTAAGTTCGCTTGAGCATCTCATTTATGAATCTTGCAAGCATTCCACCTGGAGAACTTTCATTCAGAGAGAATGAATTTATTCTTATTGAATTAGATACTCTTTGTTTAACTACTACTGTCCAATGGACAAAACCTACTAAGCCCATTTGCTCCTAGGCATAGACAGATTTGTTGACTTGGTCTAGATCATTTCTAGATTTAGTAATACGCATGGTGATACAGAAGAGGAAAAATTTTCAAAATCCTGTACCAAAACTCTGAAACATTAATTTTCTTGATTGTACTCTATGCACTGCAGTCTCCCACACCAAAGAGCATTGAGAAGTTTTCTTTAGCAGCATCACTCTTAACAGACAGCAATGTGGAGATGTCAGGTAGCACAGAATTTTTGTGAGCAATTTCTACCAAATGCTCCAATGTAGGGACCACATTGCTCATTCTACACAAAGAGATATCCCATATAAATTCTAGAGAAACAGCTTGAACTGAGAACAAAAATAACATACCTCATGCCTACCAAAATTCATCTTGAAGTTCTCCCCCATTCTCTGCTCAAACTCAGTTAAACAGAGTCAAACAGACATTTAAAAGATCCAGTTTTCCTAGAAGTTGAGGCCTTCATACAACCAAGAACAAACAGGAAGTCAGCAAATTACAGAAGAGAATATCAGCTCCCCACTTAAAGAATTTGACACAACCAGGTGTTCTGTGGGTAGCCTTGCTTGCTTAAAATGCCTCTTTTCAAAGACTGCTCTAGGGTTTTTTTTATGATCTTCTGATCTGCTGATATATGCTGTCTTCATGCATAAACAGTGTTCTCAGGAGTGAAAAAAGGCGTTTGTCAAAAACAGATTTTGCCACAGTGATGTCATCTCAGAACTTACATGGCCAGGATCAATCACAACTTATTTGAAGTAGGTGTATATACTAGGATTACCTAGGAAGTTAATCACATTTTTGATGAAAAAAATTCTAGTTCACCTTACATATTGTTACACTTATATCTAGAATGATCATACACAGGACACACTTCTGAGAGGCCTTTTTCTTTTTAAAAAACCTTTTCCTTAAAGCATAATCTGCCCATCAACAGCTACAACAAATCCTAGAGACTTTGCCAGCAGCAGAGGAGAACAAAAAGTTGTTTTGAAAACTCAAGTTTGCTGGTGGGAGCAATGGAATTTCTGTAGTTACCATACTATTAACAGATGACAGTTATAATGATGTACAGATCTCAAATATCTCTGCAGCCTTAAGAGAACAACTCTGGCATGCTGAATCACACACAAAATGTCATGTCTTGCAGTTGCATCTTTGCATAAAGCAAAAGTAGATTCGAAGATTTAAAATCGACCAAAATGGTCTAATTAAGACATACATTTTCCTAGCTACTGCTATAAATAATTTTGAGAAATCAAAGGATTGCACTCAAACTAAAAGCCTCACACAGGACTTATGACTGATGAACAGATACCTGAAAGAGCATTCTGCACAAGAGGCACCACAATTCAGCCAAAGCAGCAAGGGAGACTACACGAAACTTCAATTTCTCTATAAAGATATAGAGGGTTCTCCATTTTATGTAGAAAAAACAGGCAGCGGAGGCACCAAGCAGACAGAAGACTGGAATAGAAAATCTCACACTGACCTCTATCTCTCGGAGTTTGGCACGCTTTTCTTCACTCATTTCTGAATATTTGACTGAAGATTTGCATTCAGGCATTTCTTCTTTAATAGGATTGGAATACATGTGTTCTTCTGACTTAGAACTTTGAGTGTCTTCCTCATCTTCACTTTCTTCTTCTTGACTTTACGGAAAATGAGAAGAAATAACTGGTACGTACATATTTAAGACAACAAACTAACTGAGATTAGTTTCTAATAATGAAATCTATTGAGTAATATTACATGTCAAGTTCTGCAGCTACAAAACTGATCATTTGCAAGAAAGATATCTGAATTATAAACACTAAGTTTTTAAAACAAAATTATTAAGGTAATTTACACTTTTCATGTAAACAAAGCAGAAATTTTCAGTCAAATTCATAAGTAACACATGGCGACAAGCAAATGCACTACCTTAAAAAAATCCCCCACTCGGGCAAACCTGAGCGGGGCCAGATAGTTAACATTCCCAGATTGGCCACTAGAGTGCTGCAGCAAGTCATACAAGGCAGTAAATTGTTTGAAGCATTAATAATAGATGCTCTCAACTGTTTAAAGAGCATAATAAAAGACTGATCAGGAACAACAGATGGCACGGGGTTTATTGCCACCCAAAGAAATATATGCATCAGAACGCTACTTGCTGTACATCGTGTCTAAAGAGAAAGGCATATGTTCACATGCATTCATACAGATTTGACGTTCAAAATCCCCAAAGTGTAATATACTACCTTAGTCCTCACTAGCTGACATGAACTGAGTTGCCAAATTAGCATTGAGACGCTACAATTAGCAACTCTGCAGAAGAGTATAAATTATCACATTAAATTATGGTGTCTGAAAAAAAACATATCATTAAGACCCGGATTATCTCCATTTTCTAATTTTCCTACTTTCAAAATTTGAATTTTTGTTTGCTCTTATATACAGTTTACATGGAGTTAGAAAGGACTCTGCCTCAGAGAATTAACATGTTTTCATTAGAATGACACCGTTCAACTACATTTAAACCATACTTTAAGACAGCAGGCAAAAAACAACTTTAATAACATGCTAGCAAAATACAGTATCATTGGAAATGACTAGTAACATTGTAAACATATAAGTGTTGAACTATAAGTTTCAATTAAAAGCATTTCCTTAAAGAAACTTGTCAGACTGGTAAAATAGAAATAGAAACAAGAAATCTAATTTTACTTTTGAATTTCTTCTTCCTCAGATTCTTCATGTTGGTCAAAAAGCTCCCACTTAGAAGTTGTAACAGCTAGAAGAGAAAATAAGATCTTAAGAACAAAGCTATCCTATCACTTGGACAAAAAAACAGTCTTAAATTGAAAAAATATACTGTAACATTTTAGAATATCTAACACTAATGTAAAGGCTAACTATTTCACAGAAATTCTTCAAAAGCAATCAAGTATTTCTCATTTTGTAGTACCTTATATTTCAGAGAAAAAGGATCAGATAGATTTTTCCAATATTTATTTATGAAGTGGAAATTATTTTAATTGCTAAATTACTGAGGTAGGAAAATAAAAACAGAATAGACTACTTTCTTCATAGAATTTTTAATGAAAAAGTGAAAATTAAAACAAATCTTTCTGTATTACTAAAGAAATACTAGCATTTTTAGACAGATCTACTGAAAACAATTGATCATTAAACAAACCCTTAAGCTTCAAATTTAATTAGGAAAATGTTTCAGTTTAATAAATATTTTGCAAACTAACCTTGAGCTTCCAATTCTGATTCATCCACTGCTTCCCATTTTGAAGGGGCAACTTTAAATATCGGCTCATTTTTTTTCGAGTCTTCAGCTGTATCCACTGTTGAAGGAGAAGACAGAAACATAATTTCCCAAGCTCTTCAAAAAGTAAAGTTAAAAATCACAATCTAACAGTTAGATTTAAATACTGAAGTATATTATGTCATTTCATAATTTGCAGGGGAGTGTGGAGGAAGAGGGGGAGAAGAAAAATACACGCGCGCACACACAAAACCAACACGATTTGCAAACCGATACATATTTGCCCATAACATTAAAAGAAGTCTGCTATGTCCCTTAGGTATTTACAATCTAAAAGTTATTTAAAACTAATTCTTTGGATATATTGGAAACAATCAATTCAACGTTTCATCAAATTCTGGAATGAAACTATCTAAAAATTGAAAGTTTAAATTGCCAGGAAAGTAAAACCACTGCTTACAAGGCACCCCATCAAGATCGTCATCCAGTGATTTAATCGGGACTCCATCAAGATCATCAATAGGAGCAGCATCAATAGGAATTCCATCCACATCCTCCAGCGGAGCACCATCAAGCTCTTCCTCAATAGGAGCACCATCAAGGTCATCTGGTACCTCCTACAGGCAAATACATTACAAATTCCTTCAGAAAAGGATCTAAATTATTTTCCTTTATTTTTCCAACTACTGATTCATTTATATTAAAAGAATAGCTTAAAAAAAAAGCCCCTTCCGCTGCCATTTTAAACATGATCTTTGCCTTCCAGTAGGACTGCTTATTTCAAAAGAAAAAGAAACTATAATATACTCTTATATGAAACGGTAAGAAAGAATTTTAAATTTGTCCACAAGATACAGGAAATTTTGCAAGACCTACATCCAAAAAGAAGAGAACAAATGAACCTGAGATCCAGCTTGAAATGAGCTAGTTACATTCAAATAAATCTTGCAACATATGAAAGACTTCCTGACAATCTGTTAACTGACAAACAGATAGAAATAAACTCTTCAGTATAAACACATATCAGATAAAACATTCACTTACATGTACAGGTACTTTCCTTCATGTGTATGCATTTTCCTGGCTCTATCATTAAGGGAAATAAACTTTCTAATTACCCTGCAGTTTACTGAAAGCCACCTTTTTGTAGTTACAAAATGAACTTACTCTAAACATACCCCTATTTATTGCTTCTATCTTGGTTCTATTTAAATAAGACATATATGTAACTGTAGACAGATCAGTACTTAACCGCTTAGCACTAACTGTGTTCTAGAAAATTTTAAGCATAAAGCTTTAAAATATTAAATAATAACTTACATGTCATTACCTCAACAGAGCTCCCTAAATATCCTGTGAAAAACAACCTCTGCTAAAGAAAATGTAATACGTTTGCAATATAATTGTTATATAGCTATAATATAGCAGCTACAGCTGTAATAAGTCATAATAAAACTAGGCAACTTGCTGCTCTAAGACAACACAACGAGAGCAGAATATCCAAAGTGCAAACGATCCTTCCTCCCTTTCAAACTAAGAAAGCTCAGAGGGCTCTACTAAATCCAATACAAAGAAGGCAAAGAGAACGGATCAGGTTGTGACACTAAACTGCTTGGAATTCTACAGAAAACAAATGAACGCCTTTGATTCTACCTTAAAATTTACTGATACGGGGGTATTTCCTATGTAAAGCAAATGCTTATCATTCTGCACTGATCTTCGCTCTGAAATGCTTTCACAATATAATTCCACCACAGCACCTAAACTAGAAGCAATAAGTGCATAAACAAATTAAACGACATCAATAATCAAACATATCTTATGTTCTTAAGAAAGGGAGCTGTTGTGCCATTTAAACATGCCACATTATCCACATAATCAAAATCCATAAATTGCAAACTCTGCCAGCCAACTACAGCTGTATTCACCCTAGCAGTTGTGTCAAAATAACCCCTGCCGACTCTACTAGATTTTTACAGCTTTTACTCACCATTTGCCAGGACTACCACTATGGACCATGCAAATTACTCACCTCTGTTTCCTTATCTTCCATGATATTTACAAGTCCCAAGAAAATATTCTGCAGTTTGATCAAAAACGGCTCTGGATAGATGGCCCAGTCTTCCCATGCTCGGAAGCAGGTCATTACCCTTTGCTAGAAGCAATAGAAAGGAAATGCTAATAAGTTTCTAATAAAAGATTTGTGTTTATCAGAAATAGCACGATAGTCTGCTAGGGAGTAAAACAAGGAAGTTCCGGGCTGGGGTATATTACAGTGATACTATGTTGGAAAAGACTTGTAAATTTAAAAATTTTTGATCCACCTAGTCTCACTTAGGTTTTGTGTTTTCCTTTAAGTTCATGTTACATTATCAATTTCAGCTTCTCACAGCTCCTATACCAATGGTAACTTTCAAGCTCCTCACATGCTCTAAATATATGCTAAAAATATATATGAATAAAAATATATCTAAATATATCTAAATATATCTAAATATCCTAAATATAGCAGAAAATACCTTTCCTTTCACAGGAGAGGGGAAGGAAAAAAAAACCTAGCATTTTCATATAACTGAAATTACTTAAATTTTGATGGGGGGAACCATATAATTCAATGTTTTTCTAAATAGTAGATATCATTTAGCATTTATGACAATTGAATTAGTACAGGAGAAGAGAAGGTAGAGAAACCAGGGAAAGTAAAAACGTCTAATACAGAAAAACTAATTGCCCTGGAAATTTTATATTTAACCCTGTGGTAAAAAGTGCTGCAGAGGCACCTTTAAAAACAAGAGCAGAAAGAGCTGGGCTGAGTACCTCTATGAGAAGGGCAAGAAACAGAGCAACAAACATCTAGAAAATCCCCTTAAACCAGCCATGGATATGGCTGCTTACTAGACCTCAAAGACTAATTATCACCAAAAGCACTATAACAATTTTATGTTGCCACCAGTTTCTTCTCACACCGGGAAGCCCAAATTTATTCTCAAAACTGAGACCTAGAACGGTCCAAAATAATTAAAAAGTTAAAATAATAAAAAGGCCTTTCTGGTGAAATGCATGTATTGGATAACCTCCCAGATGAACAACTATACACCTACTGGTGCATTTCATCTGTTCCTAGATAGTTTTGTTCCTAACATACTTCTCTTCTCCCTTAGGCAAAAAGTTTCTAATGCGAAATCTACTTCTCCTTCGATAATTTTAAAAACCATGGTTTAATTTAAATCTTTGTGAGGGAAAAACACTAAAAAAGAATAAAATTTCATTGGAAAGCTTGAGTTTTAAACCACGTATGACAACGCAAACTCTTGTGCGGGAGCATCTATTCATTTGACGTCAATGTCAGGTAGAGAACAACAAAATACATACCTTGAAATTTTCAGACTGTAAATGGCCTTGTATTGTACGGTAAGTAGCATTGAGATCAGAGAATATCTGACATAATTTTGTTTCAAAACTAGAATTAAACATATACATTTCTTTGGTTAAACTTGGTAATGTAAGTATTCTCCGGACACATATAATTCATAAAAAGTACCTGGAACACAGGAGTCAAAAGGACTAGGCTTTGATCCCTAAAGTAGTCATGAACTAAACTATAAAGCAAATATGATTACTATATATTAAATCATCTTTGACAACAACAGAACTATGAAGGGTGATATTCACATCTGCTGCAGTCTCTTTATACAGCCTGAAAATACTGGAGGAGGAGAAATGGAGTTTTACAGTCCTACACAAAAACCAAAAGAATTCTCTCAAAATTCAGTTTGCCTAAAGTAAACAAATAAGAAAAAAGTTATGTTTTCAATTTAAATTATTCAGTGAGGCCCTCAAGGAAAGTACAGTGGGTAACACCTTCCTAGTTTCTCTGGAGCTTCTCTCACAATATGCAGCAAGAATTGGCACCATGAAGAAGTGCTGCAACACAAAACACGATCTGAAATCTCTACGGATTTACAACCTGCTGAATATTTCCCATCACGTTAAAATAAACCCATTTTGCCATAATATAATCATAAACTTTGTTAAAAAAAATCTTTAAAAAAGTTTGACTATTTTGCTGTACATTAACTACAACATCATCTACAACCTACATCTCTTTCTGTAGAGATGCACATGGGTTCTCAGCTCTGTGAGGTTCCACAGAAATGGTCACTTGCATATAGTTTATTTTATTAGCATCAACTGAATTCATTTCTCGTCTAATGTGCTATATAATATACATTTTCACAGAAAAAAAATGTATCAGTGTCATGCTTGATCGGTGCAAATACTTTATTTATGCAAATACGTAAGACTAAATAGAAGGATACACTTTTGCAACTAAGCACCCAAAATACTGTACTTACAATTTCCTGTAATATGAAGCATTGGCAACCTTAGCTGAGGAGTTGTATAACACATCTGACACCAAATAAAGTCTTGCAATCTACAATAGAGAATGTTCAAATTAATATAACCTTAAGTTTCAATTATCATAAAAATATCATAATTCCTCTGTAGTGATACAAAATGGTTTAAACTATCTAGTAGGAGTTACATCTACACAAGTGAAATGGCCATATTGTTATTAAAATACCAACGCACAATTCATATCTATCACAAGATGCACTGCAACATGGAATACACTCCTCAAAGGAGAGTGGGGCCTTCCAAGTTCTATTTCTTACCTTTGCTCTTCTCAAACTTAGAGCAAAACAGGGCATTAGTTTCAAGGAGGCCCAGCATGTATAAATATCTATCACAAAATCTCACAGAAAACATACATGGTGAAGTTCAAGCTCTGGTTTTAATACAAAAGTTCAACACTGCTTGAAATAAGGCTGTAAATTATATGCACGAGCTGTCAAGTAAGCTGTCCTCCAAATCACAAAAACGGTAATTAAATAAATTCCCTATACCTTCTTAGGAAGAGGAGTCTTCAAAATGGACAGTGACTCTGTAATGCAGTCTACAATTTCTTCTGCAGCTTCTGCATTGTTTAGACAGAAAACCATCGCGTCGCCAATATCGTTCTTACGAGGTGTTAGTCCCCGCAGAATTTCCTCCAATTTGTCCCTCTGTCTGAAATAATACAGACGCAATACTTTCAATAAAGAAACAAAAGTATTCTGAATATTCTCCATTTAGAAGAGCTTGGAATTTTGAATATTTAAGACACAATGTTAACTATTTTCATAAACTGCTGCTTAAGTATTTCAACGACTCGGCACTATGTGCATGCAAAAGCACGTGCCCGCTACACGCTTCCCACTCAAGGCTTTTTATTTCTTTATATATGTGTGTGTGTATATATATATATATATCATATGATCATATGTGATATATATATCATATATCATATGAACATATAAACACACACATACATATAAACACATATACATATACACACACAGAGTAATCAAGAGAAAGAACGGAAAAACAGCTAATGCAGAAGATTAATACCTTGAAATATAAAATAAGTATGTTTCAGGGTTTAGCTTAAGTAGAAATCAAAATGGATAAATCTGAAGCACATAAAAGGTATCTGTGCTGTGGAGTAAGAAATGTCAGACTAGGAAAGCTACTATAAAACAATTACTTCTATATTGATCTATATTATGGAGTAGGAAAATGAGAAGAGCATTTTTTTGGTCCCTCAAAGAGAGGCAAGGAATAAATTATGTATTAAACCTTCCAGAATCATGACTCATATCATCATAATTATAATAAATATGAACAATGATAGCTAAATATATATATACACATGTACATGTGCGTGTGTATATTTCTTCTACCACAGCCATCACCACCACACAAATAACAAAGAACTCTGATGTTCTCTTGCTGCTTATTAACAGCTGCTCCACATATAAATTTCTGACAAAAAACATCAATAAAACACGATTTCATTAGATTTTTTTTATAATGTTGAGATACACGTTATTTTCCCACCAACAGGTGGAAACATAAAATAGGAAAAAAGATCTCATCCAATCCCACTCAAACAAATGGCTAACACCAGTTAGACTGCAAGTTCTCATTGCCCAGTGACGGTGAGTTTAAGAAAACTCATACGGTATTTCACCATAATTATTGAAAATGTAATAATATAATGTAGACCTCAAGATTAAAAGAGTTTTTAATTAATATTGGGACAAGCATTGTAACATTTTAGGAATAACTAAACAACAAAGACACAAAAAAAGATGATTAGTTAAAACAGGAGTAGAAATTGCTAAAGGTTCATACTCTTCCTTAAGTGCACCCTTCTTGTTAGGTTCCTCTACAAAAGCTTCTGTTTCTTGTTCTTCTGACATCCCATGGAGGTATGGATTCAATGGTGGTGGCCTCCAAAAAGACCCATTTTTGAACATACGGAAATCTTCTGTCCTCCACTTGGTTGGAGCATCTCCCTAAAAAGTACAAAATACTGATATTTTGGCATACTTTCACTTTACTGTGCTTAAAGTAGGAACTGCCTCTAAAATTTTACTTGCCTGGAGAATTGAATAAAGCTTCCATCTATAGTATACATGGGCTGGAGTCTGGTTTTCAAATAAAAACCTAAACCAAAGAGAAAAAGAGAAGACAACATATGTTACAAATAAATTAAATTTAAGTGCAATTTCAAAGGAAGGAATCAAGCAAAATATGAATCAACCAATATGAAACCTTGTCCATAATCCAAGCACAGCTGCCAAGCAAACCCAAAATAGCTGAAGCCATGTACACCTGTACAGGCTGCACAAGTTTCTGTGCAGACCCAGAAAAAAACAACTCCTCTCAATCTACAAAATAAAATGCAGTTACCCAGAGGCACAGTATTTCTCTCAAGAAATGACAGCACTAGCACACAGTAAGACAGGGGAAATAACTGTGAAGAGCTATTATTGAAGCAATCACAATTCAAATAGTGCAGGAACTCATAGCCACACAGTGCATCCATTCAGATACCATTCTAAAGTGAATTGATGTTTCCTAACAGCAAACTGTCAGACTGTCAGATAAAAAAAATAAAATCAAACATAAATAAAAAAAAAAATAAAAACTAGCAAATTGTAAAACTGTCAGATAAAAAACAAAATCAGAATTACAAAAGAGACACACAAACAATCAAGTTTTTTTCCCCCTATACGCTCAATTTGTATTTAAAACAAGCAAAAGAAAAAAAATGCTTTGACCTTACTGCAAATAAAACATTTTCATAAGGTCATTCAATATTTCCTTGAAATAAAGTTTCTCAGAAACTACATTTCACAAGCACCATCACAAGCACTATCACAAGCACTACATTTCACAAGCACTATCACAAGCACCATCTCTTTTTTATTTCACTAAGTACCAAAGCTGAAAATTCTGACAACTTCATTGTGACAGCTAAAGTTTAATTCTGCTTGCAGTGAGGACAAGAGATGACCACCAAAGTTTTGATAAAGATCAAGACTAGACTCCAGGAAGACTGGACTTAACACTGCCTTTAAAAAAAAAAATGTGCAATTGACATTAATGACTCTGAATCCCTGAGACAAACAGGAGTTAAACATGTGAAAGGTGATGTATAATAGTATTAATAATTGGAAAGCATAGGTATTTTCCTCCCTTTTTTTTAAAGTACAATTTAAAAAATTTGAATTTACAGGCAAACGCAGACAGCTTTTCAGAAATGCAAACTATTAGCAGCAGTTAAAACAGTTGATTCTATTTAAATTGAAGGAAAAGGATAAGCACCTGAACATTGGATTGTTGATTTCTCGATTCATGATCATGGCTTCAAACATGGGCCCCTCCCGTACGACAAACTCTATCATTCGATGTATCAAAGCGAGCAAATTCCTACAACAACAACACAGTTAAAGAAAAATTGATTCAGACCTAACACTATGTAAAACTACACTCCACCTAAGATACTACAACTGTGCAGGAGATTATTTTGCTGTGTTGTTCAGAAAACAGTACAGAAGATAACATGGAGTAATATTATTGCCTTGCATAGACACGGGCATTGTAAAATGGAAACATGCCCAAGAGGGGTGGAGTGAAGATTTAAGAGAATTCCTGAATTTCCAGTTTAGCCTACAACCATCTCTTGCTTAGTAAAAGCTCAATAACCCTTACCAATAAATAATAATAAAAAGTAATAATAATAAATAACAACACCACCAAAGTACAGCTATCTAACCAAATTAGTAAGCCTTCATCTACATTATCTATATCGTATAGGGAAAGTGTTAACCAAAGTTCTACTGATGTACACGTGGCCAAATACTATGCTCAAAATTAAACAACTCTTTTCAAATATTTAACAGAAACTCCATTCAGCTTTCAAGCTTTTCAAATACAAAAGGAAAGGCAAGCAGCTTTCCTGCTGCCAAATATGGCAGTGATTTTACTAAAATGAGGTCCTTTTGGTCAAGACTTAACTGTGTGCAAACCAAACAAAACTGCCCATCGTTCCATGTCATACCATTCAATGTTTCCTACCTCATACACACAAGTGAACAAAATTAAAAATATAAAAATTTGCATTCATTTCATTCAGCACAACATACTGAGACACGTGAGAAGCACATGTGTAAATTTTCAAAGAGCATTTGAAAATACAGATCCACTTAAAAGTGTACTAAAAGCAGACAGCCACTTAAGCTTTATAAATAATTGTGATCTTGAGTTTTCAAACTTTTGTCATTATTTTGAGGGGGAAAAAAGAAAAAAAAGGATCCTAAATTTTCAAATACAGGCTAGTCTACAGGTATCAAAAGCTTCACAGCATGTGTCCTTTGCATGTGATGCAAACAAAAGAGTGCAGATTTTTACTTTTTAAAATTGAATATTTTAGATGCAACAAAAGGATATTGATTCTTTAAATATATCATCTTAAACTTCTTTCTAGCCGATTTTAAATTACAAAAATCCAAAAATTATCATATTGAAAAGCTGCAGAATTTTCCATTACAAAGCAACAAAGCTCATTCAGTGATTGCTTTCTATCATTGGGAATATTCAAAGTTCTGCCACAGATACAGAGTACTAGATGAAAAAATTGTTTACAACTTAAAAAAAACTTGCTAATAATAAAAAGTGTGCCCCTGCCATCTGCAAACCTGGCAAATGCTCTGGTAATTGCCTTCTGCTAAGCATTAACACTACCTTCCCCTCAACTATCACACAAAAGAGCAACAGATACCCACACCTCTTTTCTTCTTTTTTTCTACAGTCCCAGAAAAAAGACATACTTTCAATAACTCAGCAGCCATTTTATTTAAAGCAGTGTTTTCAAAATCTGAAGAGCAAGACTTTTGTTTTTTTGTTAGGTGAACTGTATTTGAAAATGTCATTCAGAATAAATAAATAAAAAATACAGGTAGCTTCCAAGCCTTTCAGCACGGAACATTCACAGATTTAAAACTAGCTAATATGACCATTTTTGGCCCATGTTCCTGCAGCAACATAACACTAGATTTCATCCAGCTGTTCTTCTATTCGACACAATGAGGCTGCACAAGAGCAGCCTTTCGTCAAGAGCATTGCCTTTGGAAATCTCTGAGATACATGAAAAAGATTCAGTAAACCATGTTCGTGTAAGAGGCTGCTACTTGAATGCTGTTATACAAGACATTATCACTTGAAAGAGAATTTTAAGAAATCTTGATTGTGTCCGCTCAGTATTTTCTGTTTAGTAAGTGTCAAGAAATAAGAAATATTTTTAAATGATTTTGAAAAATTTCAACCATAAATGAACCAACAGTTAAGTGCAATAATCATTTACAAGTTTTTGTATGGTATGATACACTAAAATAATCCAAAAGTTGTCATCAGGAAGCTAAAGAAGAATGAACTAAAGGTATTTTCAAATACAATTCAATTACCAAGAGTTTCTTATCACATGACCTTTGAAAATGCTACAGTAAATAAAATGGAAGCATATATTTCTCTGAAAGTTATTTACACTAAATGCTTCTTCTATTATTCATATATTATTCATATTTCAATATTATGAAAGATTTGTGCTGGTCACTAACTATTACATGTCACTGCTCAACCAAACTCTTTTGAACTGTCCTGAACTTCTATCAAAATTGCTGGTGCACATGAACATTTTGGACAAATATGTCAATATACTCATTTAACTAGCATTACAAATGTTTTCTTCCCCCCCATACACACAAAAATGGGACTTTGTGACAATTAAAACAGTGTAGTAAAAAAAGATGAGAGTTCTAAGTGCATTACTTAAAAATGTCATTTAGCTTAAGTTGGCCAACAAAAAAAAAAGTTTTTCAGTTATAATAAAACCACATTTATTGGAGCCGATCGTACCAATGTCTGGTCAAAAACTGTATACTTTCCCAATCCATCCCATGATGTTTTCCTGGTCCCCCGCTGCCGCAGACAGTTCAGCTGGTGTTGCTCACCAAGGCCAATGTCAAAGAGAATTTGGTAGTCTTTGTGTTTTGGTTTTGTTTTCTTCTTTTTTTAAAAAAGCTTTTAAAACAGTGTTGTGTTCCTACGTCTGGGAAAAGGTTTTAGCTTAACTGAGCAAGAGTGCACCTAGACAAGCATGAAGGCAGAAGCACCAACAGGGACCAAAAATGAAAAAAACACCCTTGAACTGCTGAACTACCTTCTTTAGTGATCAAAACTATTGCCCATAAAAACAAAACAAAATCAAAAAAAGAAAAATCCTCACCAGCTTTAATTTCTACTAGGACCAACTGCAGCAGTTACAAATTGCATAATTAAAAAGAACACTATAGACCAAACTACATACAGCAATGTTCTAGCTTTAAAGTAGTCATATAGTTAAAGATCTATAAAGTATCATTAGTGTAAGCTATTTCTCACTAGTTTTCACTGGCAACAATTATTCTGCACCTATTTCTCGTGTTCAAATGCAAAAACTTAAATATTTAAAAGCTATTCCTTACTAAAAATAAAAGCTCCTGAAAAAAAAAGTATAACATAACAGTAAAAAACACACTTTTCTGTTTTGAGTATTATGAAAGAACCATTGCTCAGTCAAGCCATTACCTTTTCCGCAACATCACAATTTTTCTTTAAAATTCCGAAGGGGAAATTTTCTATATTTAGATCAGTAATAATAAAGAAAAACATGTACCTTTCTGTTGGGATAACCACTTTGACTATGGCTTGCGACAGAGTCTGTATATGAAGTCACATCAGATAATAAACATAGAATATGTGAGTATTGTTAACAAGTAACAAGCAAAAATATACATATGCAATGAAAATACTACACATCTATCACAAGTTTTGCAGGCAATCACTGCTGTGAAGTTATAACTAAGCAATTACATTAAATGCAAATGGTTGTGTCAGTGAACCATAAAGGTTCACTAATTGCAAAGTATCAGAACATTCCTGTCAGAATGTACATTGATGCACTGAATAGGTACTACACTGAATATAATTAAGAAAGGAGTTTTTAAACTTACGAAGCGATTCTAAACTATTTGACTTGGATCATTTAGGTATTACTGTATTCCCAAGTCTTAAAAAAGCCAACCCTAACATTAAAGTGTCATTCAAAGAATCAACAAATTCTTACAAACGTAAATAAAATTGGTAACGTAAATAAAATTGGTTTGTGATTACAAGATACTTACCCTTCACTTTTACTCCCTCAGCTAATACTCTAAAAACAAAGAGAAGTCTGAAAACTGATCCCATAAGTAGCCTAAAACACTGATTTGAGGTCTGGACTAATTATCTTCTATACAAAATACACCAACTTCTCTAGTGTAAGAACAAAATACCCGAATTAAAACGTAGTATTTTCTCTAAAGAAAATAATTTAGATACTGCAATTTGGCAGCCAACAAAAGGGGGGACGTAGGAGAAAAAAATCCAGGGAGCCTGGAGGGGGAAAATGATAGCCAGATTTAAAGCATCACTAAAGTAAGTCAAGAGCCAGTACTGTGGCCTAACACAGACACGAGACAATGTTTCAGTAAGTAGGTTCCCTTGGGCTATAGTAGGGATCCAGTGAGTTTGTAGGCTAAGGGCTGCCAAAGTCAGCCTGAACAATGTACATCTGGGAAGCCACTGAAATACTGTCATAGATGTAGTATTTAACATGAGATATGGCCCAGGGTTCTTTTTTAAGTTACCTTCTCAAAATCTTCCTTGTTTTTTGGTGGGGGTAACATTGGAGCATTAGGATTCTTCAACCTCTCCCTAGGCTGGGCATTGAAAGGCAGTCCCGACGGAGGAGGTGGAAGCGTATGCTCCATCATGGAAGGTGGAATATATATTGGATGTGGTGGTATAGGTACAGCTTTGCCCCAGCCCAGCTTCATCTCAAAGGACATAATCATCTTGCCTAAAAGAATGGGGAAAAGGGGAAGAAGTCATGTTATAAATTAGTTCTGCACTTGCCTATTTCTCATTGTATGTGCAGTATTTAGATACATTTCTCAAAGTCTACCAACTGCTGCTTACATTGTTCATTCATGTAACACACCTACCAAACTATACCTTATGTAAATAAAAGCCTATTGCATTAATTATTCCTACAAAGGTACTACAAGTCCAGAACTGAAAAGTATGTTCACCATTCAAATTCTTTAACGCTCTTTCAGCATCTCTCCTGTTCATAAAGGCGACAAAGCCACAGTTTCTTTCTCTTGCTCTTTCTTCATCAGTTCTTGGCCACATAATTTTGACACTTGCTAATGGTCCGAAACGTCCAAATTCTTGACATAACATCTCTTCATTCATCTGCAGGGGAAAAAAAAAAAAGGCAAAATTTGGAATAATCTACTGTATTTCTACATTCACATCCATGTCCAAATACTGAGATTTTTCTCAATTTCTTGGTAAACAGGAACAAAGCTATTCATAAACATCTCCCCAATAAAATATGCCTTAAAATAAATATAACCACCCACTCACAGTTTTCTAAGAGATATGATTGTTCTCACAGCTATCTATGGACAAGTAACTTCCACTGAGCATTTCTGCTTTTAGGAACTGACAGTGTTAACACTAACTTTTGCAGGACTGAGCATTTACTCAAATGAATACTGCCTCTACAGTCACCATTTCTACCTACGGGTTTAAACCTATGCATATGATTTAAAATAAAATAATTAGTGGAAAAAAATAGCTACTGAAAAAATGTAACTGGGCCCAAATATACCAATGCTGCACTTAACTATTTGGCTCAAAACTTACTTGAGGATTAATGTTTCCAAGATACAAATTTGTTGTGCTTGGATCTCCAACATCATGTGACCCTGGGGCATAATCATCCAGTACTACGATGAGGAAAAACAGGAAATAAAAGCCACACAAGTCATATTTTACATGCATCTAAACAACAACACTGCATCAAATGAAGAATGAATCTATATTACCACCAGACGATCTATTTCGTCTTGAAGGAGCATCCACTAAAACAAAGAAACAACAACAACAAAAAAATCAATAAAGGGTGCATGTATGTCTATATATTTATAAAAATATTGTCTCCAAGTTTTCTAGACCAAAAATAAAGACAGCTACTTACTTGAGCGACGTTGGCCATCTGAATCTGACTGAGGTGGCTCAAAACGACTCAATCTACCTTTTGTTTTATGTCTTTCATCACGCTCCTCTTGTATTCTACAAAAAAAAAAATCAACACAACAACTGGGTATCTCAGATTTTTATTTAAAAAACAAAATCAATTACATTTACAAATATCAATTTTTAATATTAACATTGGGATCAAACTGCTACTATATCCCAAATTCTGTTTAATCAACTGGAATCTAACCACCAAAATGACTCCAGACGTGGTGCTTCCCCACACAAACTGCCAGGCTGCTTTAAACTCAGGTAGAATGGGTTAAGTTCAAGAACCAGTTTACAAAATTAGGAGCAAGAACTCTGCTCTGAAGAAAAAAAACCCGAAACCCAAATTAAACTGACAGAGGCCAACTGACCTTTCAGACAACTTGTCAAAATACACACAGCTCCTGAGTGTCCTTTTCTGTTCCTATCTTTCTTAGCCATAGTTATGTAGACTATCACTGTGCAGAGCAATAGACTCTCCCATTCAAACATGGCCAGCACTCACAGGACCCCATCTCAGTTTATACTTCTGACAACAACAGTCACAAAAACTACAAGTATTTGGCTACTTGTAATATCATCTTAAAACAGGATACAAAGATACTAGACACCAGGAATGCCTGGCTGTCACTTCAATTCATTTATACCAACTAATAACCAGACAAAAATAAAGTCTACAGCTTCAATTATTTAAGTTTAAACTATTTAAAATTAAACATCAGAACAGCCATAAGTGTTTTTGTACTATTCTTTTCTAATGCACATACACTAGGTTATTTGTATAGCACCCACAGCTATTCTCACCAAGCGCATTCGTCTTTTTCTGCTGTGCTATACACTTAAGAGGCAATGAATCTGCTTTGGAAGCTCCCTTCATTTTGGTTTCAAGTCTAAATAACCCAAAGTATATCTCAACTTCAGCTTAAAGAAGTCTTATTTCTGCTATATATAGAAATTCACTCTACAGTTCCTCTCAAGAGCCCCTGGCAATACACTGCACTCTTTCTGATCCTGGAACGTCAGGAGACTTCAGTCAGGCAGCAGCCGACCATCCCGACAGACCACGCAGACCTGAACACGCAGCTACCACTGCAGCTTCACACTCTGTTTAGGATTGTCATGGCTGCTGCTGCTAAGGAAATCCCACCATTCCACAAGTATTTAGGGGGAGGAGGGGGGGACACACTGTAAAAATAATAAAGCAAGAACCATTCAAATATTGCTGCTAAAAAGCAGAACTTGGTGTCATCTTTATTTACAGTAACAACTAGACTTACTGCTTTAATTCTTCTTTAAAAAGTTCCAAATTACTCTTTTTCTTTTCTTTCTCTCCTTTCTTCAAAGGCTGAAAGTAAACATTTATCAGCAAACATCTCAGCACACAGAATGAAACAAAACATACAAATTATATGAATATAGTGAAGTTTAAGGTAATTTTCATGCAATTTTACCCACAGGTTTCAAATCAAGTAAACTACAGAAGGGGAAGAAAAAAATAAAAGACTTGAAAACATTACAACTGAATGCTATCAAACACAAAACTAGAAAATACAAAATTAAGAATAACTTTAAATTATGTTACTTGTCATTACTACAATGAAGTCTATATGATCAAACACACTCTACAACATACAAATTTAAGTATCTGTAAAGTATTTTGTCAGTCTGGTCAATTTAGAAACTTATCACAAAAATTGATTACAGCCCTAGCAGGACTTCATGCTCTATTAAATTGATATCTACCTATATACAGTATGTATATTTCCAAATATTTTATTCACATTTTATGTGAAAAGAATTTCTTTCCTTTGCTTCCTTTTGGCTACAAGTCTGAAGAAAATTACTCCAAATAGAAGCCTCAGGAAAAAACACTACTAAATTACAAAGAATACGGACACTGTAATACTTTTTATTTTCTATTGTAACATATGCACCTTAACTAAGTCATGTGAATGCTCAATTTCTAAAACATTGCTTTTATGTAATCGGATTTAAATGAAAATGTTTCCAATAGGCAGACATACAAAATATTTATTGTGTTACACACTACAGCTTTGGAAAAACTGGACTTCCTACTCACCCCAGGCAAAGTTGTTTGTTTTTGTTTGTTTTTGGGGATGGTCTGCCAAATAAATAAAATCATTTTTACCTCATTATCTTCAATCACCATTGGGACAGGGCAAGTGAGTAAACTGCATTACTTGATAAGTATTTATGACAATTTTGAAAAGCAGTAATATTTTTACAATACAAAAACTTGCATAAAACAAAATAGAGTTCAGCAGGACAAAAATGCTACCCACAATTTCTGTAACTGTAGAGCTTTACATACAATGAATATCAAACTGCCAGCCAGTATTACCCCACTGTTCTCACTTTAATTACGTTTAAAGTTGAAGAGAGGCTAAAATGGGAATATCCACAACATCACATCTCATTCCCCCACTCTAGCAGGCAGTACCACAGATGTTTTATGTAAGTTTAAAGATTGTAGTAAGCTCTTATTAAATACTTCCGAGATATTTACCAAAACAAACACATCACTACACATACATACGAGTAATAGTCAAGTCATATGTAATCAACATGACTTGAAAACCAAGTTTGTCAAAAACAAATTGCTCCCAATTATTTTTATTTTGGAATCTCAGTTTAAAAACAAAACAAACAATAAAAATAAAGAAAAAAAAAAGAAAAAGAAATGATGCCGATGTCAAAAAGGAAAGAGAAACAAGTATTTCACCTTCAAAAACCTGCAAGGTGCATAGCTCAATGAGATGAAGGGAACTACTTGATCATTATGAAAATAATTAAATTAATTAATAAAAACTCCTTAAAAATAAACTAGAAAAGTTTAGATCAATATAAAGGTCAAATTTTCATAAAAATAAATATTTAAAAACAATTGGCAGCAACAAGAACTACTTCTAAAATTTAAAAAATTCTCAGCATCAGAGATATTTGCAGCAGTCATCAAACACGTATTTCACAGATGTGATACAACAAAACATACAGCACCCAAATTAGAGTGCACTATTAGAGAAACATATCAAGATGGATACAGAACTATCAGATCTCTGCATTTTTGCCTTTCAGTTTAAGATTAAGAAAAATTCAAATTTTTGCTTCTTTTATTATGTGACAAATGCAGATAAAAGTATTCTGCAAGATCATATGGCTCTACTTTAAAAGCACTTCAAATGAGACTGTTAAGCAAGGAGTTAACATTCAGACAAGAAAACTTACAGGCTTTTTGGTTTCTATCATTAGGAGGGATGGAGGCTTCTCATTAGATGGTTGGCTTGGTTGATTTTTTTGATCCGAAAATCGTGATGAGGGCTTATAGATTTTACCCCTCTTTTCATCTGTTTCATGTTCCTCTGAAATTATTAACAAACTATATCAGTTAATACTGCATGATACAGTTACAGGATAGAAAAGTGTTTTAAGTCTTGTCCATTCAACTCAATGTATTATTTTAAAACAGCTAGAAAGATATGCTAATCCAAATAGTCTAAATGCAGTATGAAGGAAAAAACATAGATATTTTATAAAAAGGGTTTTGCCCGTTACAATTAAAAGACAGATCATGTGCCAAGTTAAAGGGCAAACCAGGTTTTGGCAGCATGTTCATTTGCTGTTCCAAATGCAATACATTTATTCTAAAATGCATTTAAAAGCAAATCATTCATTCAAAAGCCAAAAGATCTCCCAGCACCACCCACTGAAAGAAGATGAGTTATACCTTTAGAGGCATTAACGATTCCTCCTCTTACAAAAGTTTTCACTTTATTGCCATCACTTCCTTCAAAGGCAGCAAGGAATTCTTCATAAATTTCTGCAGCAGCTTTCTCATCCTCCTACAGAGCAAATGTTAATCTATTTACTATCAGTACAGAACAGCCTCCACTAGACAACTTTTCTTAAATTAGCTAAGTGACATGCCTATTTATATTCTAGAGTTTATGCTACGAACTTCATCAAACAAGTTTCAATTTTAGACAAAAGAATTCAAATTACAGAATGTGGGCAGAGATGGGCATTGACACTTCGAAAAACTAAGTCTGTACACTCCAATATAACTGTTCATTTACTTTAGTTTACACGGCCATTGAAGTTCATTAAAAAGAAAGGAAGAGGGGCATGAGGCTGGCACTCTGCATTAAGCTGAGCATGAGAACATATTCAATTTTACACGTTGTGGCCAAACTGTGTAACTGAAGATTAGCAATACGATCTTTTTTTTCGCACTTCCAAAGGAAGAATTTAATTCCTTAACTCTAGCAAGACAAGAAATGCAGCACAAGCACTTCTCTTTAAGCTAGTGTTTTCACAAATAAAGCAGGAGAAATCCCACTGAAATACAGTATGTACTCTGTGTGAAAGGCTCAAAGACTAAGATTTTCAAAACTTTACTCTTAGCAACCGAACATTAGAACCTATCTTGAAAAAACACATTAATGATGAAATTTGGCGACTGAAATTGTTGTAACCTAATATTGAGCTAACTTCAGCTCCACACACACAAAAGTATACATAATTACCTTCTTTTTTAATTCTTCTTGCTCCTTCTTGCTTAGAGTTCTTTTGGCAGCACTCATTTTGCCAATACTGAATGCTTTCAGCTTACTTTCCATCAGAGGCTGCAAAAAAGAATAAGTCAAAAAAAGTTAAATGTTCAGCAAAAACAAAAAAAAATGTTATTTTTCACTTTGGTTCACTTTGGTCTATACCAGGAGCTTTTTACTTGAACGCCTTAATGAGTGACTTAATTTGCAGATGATTAAAGTATTTGGAGAACAAAAAATAACTGACTACATAGGTTTGTCTAAGACAGTAATTATCTAATACAAGAAAAAAAGTCTATATTGTGAAAAAAGATTTATCATTAGCTTATTGAGAATTCACTCAACATGCCATTCGGAGACAGTCTCTGCTGTAATCTGAGGGAAATGGGCTGTAAAGGCCTTGAAACTGTACCACTATGCAAAACATAATTTTGTAAGTTTGCAGAGAAATAAGCTTTGCATTTTAATTACATATTGATCCTGGAAAATTTTCAGCAAAAAAAATTCAAATGATTTTTCTAATTCTTTGGCTAGAAGACTTTGTAGTGTCAAACAGGCACAATTAAAGAACTGAATTACGGTATATTAGGGTTTAGATGTAGTATTTTTGCTGGAAGAAAAAAAACATTCCTGAGGCTTTAAGCTAGTAGTCAAATGAAACAAGAAATGCACACTTCACAGAAATTCATTCTGCCTCAAATAATTTAATTGGCATTCCTCACTTCTTGAAACCCTGATCAAAGCAGGACTCCATGCACAAGTCATCTCTGAGTAGCACTGGCATTTTTGGGTAGCAATGACAGCTAGATAAAGCACTGGAAAGGAAAAGAGAATGGAGACCACACTCAGAAGACATGAAGAGTGGGAAGATGAGACTTCTCTTGAAAATTCTGTTTAACACAGTAGCTCATAAAGAAACAATACAGAAAAAAAAAAGTCCCAAGGAGGAGAACATAAGTTGTTACCCTTCATCCTCAGAATTATGAGGATGAACAGTTAAAAACAAACAGAAAAGTCAGAAGCCAATAATTTAAAAAAAAGTTTATTTAGGAAAAATCTTCTGTGGAACGGCTTTTATTTCTAATATGTATTTTCTACACAGAATCTGCTCACTTAATATGAAACATCACTGTGAAAAAAAAAAAATTTCAGATACCTTTCATTTATGATCCTTGTTGAATATCACAAATACCTCGTAGATCTGTCCTAAGCAAAGGCTCTCAAGTGAAATTAAAGAAACAACGGGTCTCTGAACTTGTCAGTTATAGACAAGCATAGCATCAAAATGCTTTATATTTCTTTGAAAGAAGTTTTGCCCTTGATAATTGAAAGCACAACATTCAATTACAAACTAATGCAATGTTGTATGTGGACTCATCTGATTTATGATGCTAAGCTTCTCAATAGAAGCTCCTGTGACAGCTTTATCAGCAGGTTTTCATGCATCTACATCTTTTGCAAGTTTATAAAATCCTCTTTTCATGTTGTCCAAAAGACTATATTAATTTTCATATGACAAGCAATATACAATCCAGGCAAAACGTGGACGCACTACTATGGCACAGCAACACTGACAATACAAATATTGTACTTCTATCAGAAGCTTATACCAACATCAGGAAAGGATACAAGATAGCTACAGTGCTGCCATATGAGTGTATGTTCTAGTGATACAGCAATGGAAGCAGCTTTAAGAGCTCTAGCACTAAGATCTCACTTTAGAAACAGTCTCAGAAAACAACCTTCCAAGTGACTGGAGCAGTATAAAATTAATATAACTGCAATTCACATTTCAGTAGGCAATTATAACAATAGTATTAACCTTAGGTGGTAGCTTAAAAAAAAAAAAAAAAAAAAAAAAAAAAAAAGGAAAAAAGAAAACAGAGCCACAGACTACTGAAAGGCCTTCCCTTCTTTCCCTTACTTCCCTTAAAAAGCAAACAGAAAAGATCATAGTGGAAAGAATAAGGTAGAGGATAGAGACAGAAAACTTCCTGTCGAGTAAGCAAGTCACTGCATGAAGGAAAACTACTGTTAGCCATAAAATTTCAACAACAACCATAATATGAGAGGAAGAAGACTAGCCAAATGTTCTTACCTTTTTTAAAAGTATATTCTAATAGAAGAAAAAATGGAAGTTTAAATCAGGGCCATATTATTTCATCTTTGAGGAATCAACTGTGTACAAAAGCCACTATAATATACACTGACTCTAACAGTTACTCAGCCTGGATTTTGAGCTGTACATCAAAATAAGAGTTAACTGTATACAATCTTTACACACTTCTACCTGTTTAAACATCTGCTATTAATGCAGTATCATTCAGTACAATTTCATACATTAGCAGTTTTTTAAACTCTGCAAGGAACATTCTTCACTGTGAAAAAGAATGCTTTATTCACAAATATCTACAAATTATACATTCATTGATGGGCATCCAAAGGCTGACTGCAGTAAACAGGATTTCCTTAGGCAATAACAGGTTTATTTTGAGGTTCTGGGCCTGGGGCTTCATTTTTTTAATCCTGTGAACTTACATGGGTGTCCGCAGAGCCCGTGTTATGCACTGCATCTGACGCTCTGACCTGGGCAGAGAACAAAGAAGAGGTGAGGCAAAGGAGGAAAACCTCAAGGAACAAACCCTGATTTTTCCTTTGGATGTGACTTCATTTCAACATTCAAACACAAACATGCAATAACAAAGATACACACAACAGATTTAAGTGTACAGCTGAGAAATGTCACAGCATGAACAACCTCTACATAGAGACAAAGAAAGGATAAGAGCTGTTCTTGCTATAATTAAAAATATCAACATTTTCCAAAGTTGGATTTTATAAACTCACTCCTAAAACCATTACAATTGGAAAAAGGAACTTAGTTAAACTGAATCTGTAGAAGCCATCATTAAAATGCTTTGTCTTATTTGCCTCCCAATAAAATCATTTCCAAAACTCCTCTCAGTATGTTGCACATTGATATTCCTGACATGCCTGTAATCCATCAATTTAAGCCTTACTTGTGATACGCCCTAGCTAGAATCATCACTTTAAACTAAACTATTACTGAATTTTCGAAATGCATAAAAGTTTCAAGTATGCACATGTAATGTTGAAGTGCCATTTTGAAAACACTGCACTGAAATTCACTACCTTACAAACTATATTTTTTTTTCCTTAAACTTTGCTCTCTTTTCAGAAAAGGACACAGAATGCCACAGTCAGAAGTCTAAAACTGTATACATACCATGCATATATACTACACTGTATATGCACATGTAAGCTACTGGACTACCACATGAGCAGTAGTTTAATAAGCTTAAGTAATGAAGAACACTCCAACAAACAGGACAGAAAAATATATTTTTGAACTATGTAATGCCCGAATTTATCGATATAAGTTCTGCTAAGAGGTGCTACATATACAATTCATATTTAAATTGGAATTTATGTTCAAATAAAGTCATACTGAAATTTTATTATAGATTTTCATTAACTGAAATTCATTCATTAGTTACAGATCATTAGCATTTTTCCTGCGAAGCAGAAGCTTGCAGCTTCTATCAGAAGTAATAATATGCTGTGCTGCTTTTCATCATTCCAGAATGGACAAGCACCAGATGCTATTTTAGAAAACAATTTACTAAAAATTGCTACCATTTCCCATCAAGCATTTTCATCAATTAAGACAGTGATATTTATCTTCAATACTTCTTAGAGTCAAATAAATCCAGAAAAAGAATGGCAGACAGAACTTGAAGGCCTGGCACTAAGTCCACCAAAAGCAAAGAAGCTAACCACCACCACCAAAGCAGTAGGCACACACTTAAAAAGATAAATCTCAAAGGTGCACTGATAAAATGTTGGCTTCCTTAGCTACTAGCAGGAGGGAAGTCCCAATCTTGCTGAGGAAAATGGTGTTTGTGGCAGAGAATTAACACTTCTCAGTTTTCAATATCAATGCCCTTTGGAAAGCTACTCCTTCCAACAAGGATGAGTGCTGACCCTACCCACAAGAGGAACAAAGAAGGTGTCACATTCAGTAACAAATAGTAACAGTGAAATGCAACGATGCTGTTTTAGACACAGTAGATGATACCCTAAGGCAAAACATGAAAAATTGAACAGACACTGAAACTGTTTCTGCAACAGAACAAACTCAGGCTGCTTTACAGCAGCTTAAGACTTTGAATTACAAATGGAGAGCAGCATTCAAGACATTCTGAGGGCCAACAGCAGCCTGTGACCGAGACAGTCTGGAGGTCACTAAGCTGAAGCACAGGGGAATTCTGCAACCTCCCAGCAGGGACGCATGTGCTGTGAAATAAATTATCTCCAAATATCGGTGCAGTAACATAATTTCTACTAAGGCTCCCTCCAAGGACTTTTTCTGAAAAAAAAGTTTTAGTTTACACTAGCAAGTTTATGGGACATTTTTTTCCAGTGCCCATTAGCAGCTTTGCAGACAGCCTCGTTATTCTCTTCAACAATTCCTGGTTTTAGGTCTTCTTTTCCCATCTGAAAAAAAAAAATGACTCAAAGTTTTGGTACTGCTTTTGACCACCAGCAATACTCATTGAAGCACAACACAGACATAATTCTTGACAAACTGCAAACTTGTGAATAGCAGCTACTAACTACATATATGTATATATATACATACATATATGCATAAAAAAAGTTCTCACAGCACTAGACTTCGCATCCATTTGCACTTGAATGATGAAAGGGTTAAGGTATTTTTCCTAAGAGGTGTATCAGCTGAGTTGACTTAACACTATCAAATGATGTTGCCTACCTACCTTGAAAGCCAGAACAGGATTTTTTTTCTCTTTTTTTAATCATGATCAACTCAACTGACTAGCTGTTGAAATAAAAATACTCAAAGTGGTGTTCTGCAGTCGATGACTTCAGAGATACGAGGATAACTCGCTTCATGTTCAAAACACCAACAGGAAAAAATGTGACAGGTTTATCTTTCAATAGCATTGCCAGCAGAAACAGTCTACAAATCTCCTGTTATGCTCATCTCCCTGCCCCTAAAACTCCACACGAAACCTATCGTTCTTTACTAGGTTATTTTTGATCACTTTCTCAGTCTCTTTCACTGCACACGTCCCTTAAAGAACATCACCAGAACTCAAGCAGCACTGCAGGCTGCTTGCACAAACTGGCAGTAAAATAAAGCCTTGTCAAACTGCAGTTTTGGAGGGCAGATGGCTCAAAGCTCCTTTACTGAATATAGCCAAGCTACTCAACTTTCAAAAAAGATTCAAAAGACTATATAAATAAAACTGATGACAAAATCCTATTAAAAAAGCAGAGCCCAGAACTCACTCAGATTTTGACATTTAAATTTCCTTCCCGTCTCACAGCTGCCTCCAAATAAAACAGGAGAGAAAAGATTGTTCTTCCAGGTCTTCCTTCCTGAAAGGAATGCAAGTGCCCATAAATCCAGCACAGTTTCCCTAGACTGGATAATCTCTGGGTAAAACTGGCACAATACCATTATTTCACAAATGCCTCACATATTCTATATGATAACTTAAAAAAAAAAAAAAGTTTTGTTGCTAAAACTGGTGCCATTTAGTGAAACAAAGTGCAACAAAGTTGCCAATAAAATTCAAACAGAGTACTGTACCCTTCAAAATGATGAATGGGATCTTTAGAATTGTAATGGCTGCAAACTTAAATTGAAATATAACTGATAGCTTATAGGAAAAGTGTTCAGGAGAAAATTTGGTGTAAGACACTAATCGTCTTTCCACAGCTTTCCTTGATCTTGTCTTCCTACCACACAGCAAAGCTCAGAGTCACACAGAACTACATCACCCCTCCTGATGTAGCTGAACACCGAGGAAAGGGATGGCTGGGCAGGTTCAGCCAAACCAGTATCCTTTTCACATCTGCCCACAAACCATCTAAAAGGGACAATGTGGAGGAGCTGAGGCTGGAAAACTGCCTATGTCAGCCCTGCCACCAAGAACACAGAAACGTAACCACAGTATGTATTAAGATGCTAAAATGCAACTGGGGGTGGGGGAAGTTCCATTTCAGAACCCAATTTTTCTTCTTCTTTTTTTTTTTTTTCCTCCTTTCTTCTCTATCAAGCAGTTTATGATGAAGCCAAGAAAAGAAACACTTCCAAACATCTGCAACTTAAGCTTTATAGCTCATGTGTTTACTCTTCACATGTACTAGAATAGTACATACTAATATTACTCACTACTTAAATAGACATCATTTGAAAGCATAAAAGTAAATGGAAAATTGTTTCCTCTGAAGTACTTGCAAGAAATGCCATTCCACTGTAACCCTAAACTCAGGTGAAGAATACTTAATTTTTTCGTGCTAGAGATAAAATAAGAGAGACATCTCCTTTTGTATTTTCATCAACACAGAAACTCTCCTGCTCTGTTTCACAAGGTGCACAATACCACAGAGAAAGTTAATGCTCATCAGTTCCTTGTCCTTCAGAATTCTTCATCTCATGAGAAGTCTCCACACTTCTAAAGTCTTGTTCTTCATATATTTTAACTTCTTTATGAAAGTCATCCATACACCAGCAGGCTTTCTTAAACATTTTATTAACACATACCGTTACTCAGAGGCCAAGGAAACATACTCGAAATTAAAAGAGTGTTTATAAAACACCAACTTTTACAATTGAAAATGGGAAACTACAACTTGATCCAAGCAGGTAGTTTTCTCTTCTGCCATGTAGTACCCAATTTTACACAGTGTTAAATGTAAGACAAGACAACAAGCAATATAGTCATCATCCTCAAAAGATGAAAGAAAAAATGGTAGCCATCCAAGCAAATAATATTACATCTAGCCTCTATTTTCCCATCCTAAATTTGTCCGTTATTGCTATTTCAGAGGCAGATTTTACTATCCTAGACTTAAAGGAGCAACGGAATAGATTTTGCAACACATTTCACAGAGAATCTTTCAAATTTATCTAACCTCATAAAAAGCAGCTACCAACAGTCACAATGACAACTGGTGCTCCTGAAGAGATAGCATCTCCCTGACCCTTCTCAAATAGTGAATCAAATAGATAATGCTTGACTGAAATAAACTGGATTTTATCTTATAAAGCAAAATGATTGTCTAGACAACCACCATATGTACTGAAAGAGAGAAGCCTTATATTAGTACAAGTGCTAAAGCCTTCAACTGCTACAGCATAGCAGAACACAAAAAATAAAATGCCATTCTCTTCTCCCCAGGATATCGGCTAGAAGCCAGAAAAGGAACATCTTGAAATTGCCATTAAAATATATACTACAGAGTCTATAAGAACCTATTTGCAAGCCAATTTTGTTTGTAAACGCAATTACACTTACTCTTACACATTTAATTTGACATTTTTTAGTAGGCCCACTGAGTTCAATAGGGTAGTTTCGTATGAACAGGTAAGTGTCTGCACACATCTTTGCAGAACACAGAACCATGACAGGAAACAATTCTTCTAAACTAACAGCTGTTTAAAAATATATATTTTTTAATATATATCATCTCTACAAAAACATTACACTGCCAAATGAAAAACCTAAGGTAAAACTCCAGTAAAAAGGGAAGAATCACCTCAGTTGTTTTTGTGTACTATGTTATTGGTTGCAGTAATTAACAAGTTATTAACAACTTACTATTCTATGTCTAATTATACTTTTTTAAGTCCCAAAATGTCTTATTTCCCAGAAGCCTCTCTCCATAAAGTACAATCTACTGTGTTATCTACTGTGTTATTAACCAATACAGATCTGTCTAAATCTTGGTTTCAGTTCCAAGTCAAAGGTAAGATTCAAAGAAATTTCTCTGACAGTAACTCAAGTAGATCATAAAGAACCTCTCTCTTAAGGACACCAACTACTGAATGAACATCAAGAGTGTTTCACGACTATGACTCAGTTGGCTTCCTAACAAATAAATATAGATGAATATATAGATATATCCTATTTTAGCTGAACATAAAAACGCTCAGCAATTATCACTGTATAGGAACCAAAATTCCTCAAGCGGAATGCGGCTCCTCTCTCTTCACTGATTTTCACAGGTAACAAAGACTGGAAGAGTTTTCAGGACCTGAGACACCCAGCACTCCCTCGCTCTGCCCCCGGGCTGCGCGGGACCGTCCGGGGCCGCAAAGGGCCGTCACCCCCGCGGCCCGGGTCGCCCCGCGGCTCTCCCTGCTCCTCCCCGCGGGGAAGGCGCCCGGGGCCCGTGCTGGGCAGGGCGGCCCGGGCCCACAGCACGGCCCGCGCCCAGGCAAAGGAGGAGCCGTGCGGGGAAAGCGCGCGGGGGCAGAGGGCGCAGCTCGACCGCGACCTTGTGGGAACCGCCGCAGCTCAACGGCAAAGCGAGGCGGGACCCTCCATCTCGAGGCAAGAACCAGCAGCGGTGACCGCGCGCCCGGCGCCAACGCGCCGCCCGCCCGCCCGCTGCACGCGCCCGG